AAGTAATTCTGTCTGTATTGTCACCCTCATACTCAATGTATGGATAAATATAGAGGGAAATGATCACTGGGAGGAAAATTAACGTTTGGGTCATACATCAACTCTGCTTACTTGGCATCCAAACACATAATTCACATTGCTGAAAAGACTCCAGTGATTGCTTATCCATTACAGATCAATTGCAGAAAAGGCTGTAACATTATCAGAAGCATAATTTAGGAATCCTATAAACATTTAGGATTTAAAACCTCACTTACTGAATAGCCAATGCATAGTAATTAACTCAGGTGTGAAATTAAATTCAACCCTAAGAAATATTTACATGCATTTGGTTTTAAATCCTGTTTTGAAGCCTTTCTAAAGAAACTGCATGCTAAAGGATCAAAAGGCAGTGTTAACAAACTGACTCCAAGCCGTCACCATCCCATCCTAAGGAAAATCACCTCACCATTCATCGTCTGCTTAATGTAAAGCATCCAAATGTATGCATCCATAGCCCAGTAAGAAACTCATTTGTCCAATATTAGGCTGTTTGAATTTTGTAATGCACTTCCCATTAATACACATCCATTCAGCATTTGTATACTTTTCTATTTGTCTGTAGCTGCTCAGAACCACTCACCATTTCCTGTTTGATCACATAGCACCTGCGGAGCTCTCTGCAGAAAATCTGCCTTTCTTTGGCCTAGGCTCCTTATCTCCAAGAGCCAACTAATCAAGGTGGAGGGGCAAGAGAGTGGGAATGGTCCTGGGAAGTCCATCAAAACTAAGACAAGAGTTGTCACATCGCAATCCTATAAACAAAGCTAGGAAAAGTTTTCACACAAGAAAAAAAGAATAGCTGTGGTCTTGCCAGCTCTGATCAGATATTGTAGAGTAGATCAAGCTGTAAGGAAATGTAGAGATCACTTCGCCCACCCTCTGACACCAAACTTCTACATAAAGTCCTCTGTCATTCAAATGTAAAACTTTCTACTATTAGAGAGCTGGAAAATCCACACATCTCCTATAAATGTATATTGAGTTTCAGTAGAATTTAAATCCACTACACAAAGATTCCTTAAGCTTTGCGCAAGGCCAGTTAGGTGTAAAGCAAGAACAAAAGCAGAGATTTCTGGCTGTGAAAATAGGCTTTGTAGCTTTATCTCCTTCCTTTGGATGTAAAGGCTGAAGAGGAAGGTTAAGAGTAAGGCTAAGAGGCGCTGAGCTCATTCCCTGCCTTGAAGAAAGGAGTGTCTTGATGGAAGGCATTCAAAGAAAGTTCCAAGCACTCTGAGCTCGTGCAGCAGGTACATGACTTGGAAGCTCCGTGTTCTGGTTGTCTGTGGAGCTGCTCCGAGTTGGGGGCTACAAACTTTCACTTGCAAGTGTGGCACACATGGTGGGGCGCTTGGGCGGCTCAGCAGGTTAAGCTTCAGTTCAGGTCACGATCTCAAGGTTTGTGAATTCCAGCCGTGCCTCAGGCTCAGAGCCTGGAGCCTGCTTCAGATTCTGTGTCTCCCTGGCTCCCTTCCCCTCCCCCACTCGTGCTTGCTCTCTCTCCCTCTTTCTTTCTCAGAAAATAAATAAACATTAAGAAAAGAAGAAGAAGAAGAATAGCGCACGTGGCTATTGGGTCCTGCTTCACTCCATTGTCTCTGGGGCCTCACCACCTCCTCTTCTGTCTGTGCCCTCTGTCTTAGTAAAGTTTTCTCTGGGTTCTATCAGTGTGAGAAAAGTTTAATCCTTTCTGTGCCTTAAAAGATTGATAAACTGGGATGTCTGGATGGCTCAGTCAGTAAAGCGTCGGGCTCTTGGTTTCGGCTCAGGTCATGATCTCATGGTCTCATGAGTTCAAGCCCCAAATGGGGTCCACGCTCATAGTGCCGAGCCTGCTTGGGATTCTCTCTCTCTCTCTGCCTCTCCCCTGCTCGCTCTCTCTGTCTCTCTCAAAATGAATAAACTTATAAAAACTTGTAAAGAGATCGATAAACTTATACTCTCGTTTCATATCCACCATTCTATTACAAACAGCATCATGTTATCACCTTCACACACAGTAATGCATGTTCATAACCAGGCTAGAACTGGGGAAGAATCATTCATCTATGGATCATAGATAGTCTGGGAGCCCACATTTTGGTGGGTGAGAACTTTTTAATGTTTTCCACTCTTATGCTTAAGAAATTACTTCTTACATATAACTCTATGGGTAAGATTAAATTCTGCTTTTCCTCTTTTAATGAAATAATTTTTCACCATCATCCTTATAAAAATCCTTTCAGCACATGAACACCTTTTTAATGATAGCCCTTAAGCGCCACTGTTTTCCCAGTGACCCAACTAATGTACACTTTCCTGAATCATTTTTTACTTGGGTGTAAACTCCTATAGACAGGAATATGTCTATTTTAATGGATGCCAACCAATAGGTAGTAAGGACTCTCCTATCACATGTAGATGTGTAGCAATAGTTTCTCAGGAGGAGGAGAACATTGGCTAATGTTACCTGAGAGCTTAGTGTATGTCAGATATTATTCTTAGAGCTCTACCTGGAATCAACTGATAAATTCTTCCTGAAGAATTATTAACCTCATTTTACAGATGAGGAAACTGAGGCATGGAATGGGTAAGTTATCCATGCAAGTTACAAAGCTTGAGAGTGGCTAGTAATAAAAAGAGAAACAAACATGGTGTAAGTCCATTTCTTTGATCTCATTTCCTCAACAAGTAACCAACTTCCTTCACAAAGACTCATCTTCCCCACAGATACAGTCTCTTGAAATTAAATAATAATAAAGCTAAAGTGGAGGACCTTCTCACTGGTCCATCTCCATCAAGCCCATAGTTTCCAGCATGATTTCTCGTTATCATTCATTTGCAATCCTTCCTCTGCCCTTAGAAATTAAACTCTGTCCAGAAATAATTCTGACCAGATGTGGCTCAAGTATTTCAATCTTTGTAACTAAACTAGTCTCCAGTTGCCAGAGGTAATTTTGTTTGCAGATTCTTTCTTTTGAGTCTCGCTGCCACAGAGAAAATTGTGCATAAAAAGCAAAGGGAGTAAGTAGGAAAAATCTTTTTAGATAAAATCTATTAGCTAGTGAGACTTTCTAAATCCACGTGAACCCCTTAGCAAATAGATCTGGCAAAAACAAAAAAGTAAAAAATATATTTCTCTGAACTTCTCTATAGGGAAATGATGAAAATGTAAGTAATCTGTGATCATGAGCAATTAAACCTTGAAAGCAAGTTTTGTTTCCAAATTTGAAAACTAAAATAAAAATCACCCATAATCCCACCATTCAAAAATCACCACTTGACATTTCTGCACCTTTTCTTCCAGTCTTTTTGCCTATTTTTAAAACACTGTTAACAAGCTATCTTTGAGGGGTGCCTGGGTGGCTCAATCGGTTAAGAGCCCGACTCTTATTCTCGGCTCAGGTCCTGATCCCATGGTTTCTGGATTGAGCCCCACATCCGTCTCTGTGCTGACACTGAGAGCCTGCTTGGGATTCTCTCTCTCCCTCCCTCTCTGCCCCTTTCCATCTCTCAAAATAAATAAACAAACATAAAAAATTTTTTTAGTAAGCTGTCTTTGAGAACTCAAGGTTTATGTGAGCCATTTAATAAAGAAGTTTATCCCTTGGTATTTACTCAAGGAAAGAGCCAACACTAATTTGGAAAGGTAAATGCACCCTATGCTTATTAATAGCAGCAATATTTACAAGCCAAGATATAGAAGCAGCCCAAGTGTCCATTGATAGATGACTGGGTAAAGAAGATGTGGTACACACACACACACACTCACACACACACTCACACACACATATGCATGCACTGGAATATTACTTAGGCATTAAAAAAAGAAGATCTAAGATCAGGGGACGCCTTGGTAGCTCAGTCAGTTAAGCATCTGACTTTGACTCAGGTCATCATCTCATGGGTCATGAGTTCGAGCACTGCATCAGGCTCTGTGCTGACAGCTCAGAGCCTGGAGCCTGCTTCAGATTGTGTCTCCCTCACCTCTGCCCTTCCCCCACTCCCTCTCAAAAATAAACACTAAAAAAAACAGATCTTGGCATTTGCAACAACACGGATGGGGCTAGAGTGAGATAAATCAGACAGAGAAAGACAAATACCATATGATTTCACTTACATACAGTACCTAAAAAAGAGCACAAATTAATAAACAAACAAAAACCAGAACATAAATATGGAGAACAAACTGGTGTTTGCTAGAGAATGAGTGAAATAGGTGAAGGGGATTAAGAGGTAGAGACTTCTCGATATAAAGTAAGTCATGGAGATGAAAAGCACAGCATAGAGTATATAGTCAATAATATTGTTATAACCTTGTATGGTGACAGATGGTAACTACTCTTATTGTGATGATGATAGTATAGTGTACAGAATTGCCAAATTACTGTGTTATAAACTTAAAACTAATATAAAATTGTATCTCAAGTAAAATTAAAAAAAAGAAGAAAACATTTGTCCCCAGGAAAGAAACTCTATTGTCTCCCTGTCCTCCTATAATATATTAATCAAAGGCAACTCAAGTCATTGAAGGAAAAATAAAATTATTTTAGCCACTCAACTATAGCCTTTCCTATTTGGAAAATAAATTCTTCCATTAAAATTAAAGGTTACCAAATAACGCTTAGCATGCACCCCCTCATTTCTGAAGGTGATTTAGCTACTCTCAGCTGGTAGCTCTTAACGACAGTATTGAAAGGTATGTGCAATGAAAGGGTCAAGTTTAAGACTTCTTTAAACCTCTGCTCTCCGCCCCTGTTAATGGCTTCCTGGTGTTAGAGATTTGTTTAATGATCAACAGTGGCTTCTGTTTCTACCACTGAGTCTTTCAGAAAACAGCATAACCAAGTCAATGTTTAACTGGATTCTTTGGGTCTGAAATGGCAGAGTGGGAGTTGAAGGGACATCTCCGTGGAAACCGGGCTCCCAGGAAGTCGCCAGAGGGGTTCCTGTGTGGTGAAATAAAGCTAGAAAGATGTCATGAACTGCTTTGTGGAGCTGGGGTAAAATTCTGAAGTACCTTAATTAAAACCAGCCAAATGAAAGGCCCCAAACCACTTCCCACATGGTTCTTTGAACATCTTTAGCATGAAATGGGCCTGGGCCACTCTAAGCCTCACCCTAGAGTGACCAAAGTAGCGCCTTTGCAAAACAAAGAGGAAGAAATGCCCTCAGCCAGCCCCGTGGACTTTGCATTCAATCAGAATCTGGAAGAAAAGAGTTCATATTTGTTCGGAGGCCTGCAGGACCGGAACAAAGCTCTAGAAAGACAGCTGCCACCTCTCCGAGAGACCGGGTATGGAAGATACTCTGCAGGTAAATGTTAAGACCCATCATGAGATCTGCGTATTTGGGCCAAGGAGGGCTATTGACAGATGCTATTGACAGATGTGCTTGACTGTCTGTTTCTATAACAATATCAGAAAGTTTCTAAATTGCTGAAATGTGAGGGAACATCTTTCAACTCAAGGCTGAGTGTTTGTCAATTTTAAGTATTCTGGGTACATTAGAACGGGCGTGCAACAGCCCTGCACAGAGGGCTTCTTACCATTCCACACGAGAAGGAAAAAAAAATCCTTCTGTTTCAGCTTAGTTTATAGTGCTTTCGATGTTTATACCTAGCTTTGCCAGACGATTAAAATTATATAGATAAGATGCGATAAATTATGACAATCATATGTTTGTTAGATTCTAAATGCAAATCATTCTCCCCAGTACCATTTAGTGCATCACGCTTTGTTGTTTTGAAAGCAACCCTTTCGCAGTGAATTCATCCTAATGTGGAGTTGGAAACCACCCCAAACAGAATTGATTTATTGCAATACAGATGAGAGAATGAGTCATCCCCTCCCCAAGCCCACATTCTTCACGCGGAATATGCACTAAGTTCTGTCATCTGCGGAACTAAGAGAATTTTTCCCATTATGACTGGAAGTTCTGAGCCTGAAATGGCTATAAAGTAGCCTGGGGTATTTTAGAAGATTTCATTTTTATGAAAATCACAATGGTAATTAAACAGAGATTCTCACTTGGGAAGAGAAATATAAGTATATAATGCATACATATGTATGTATCTATGTAATTTTTTTCTTTCTTTATATTCTGGATCGATAACACAAGTAAGTTCCCATTACTGGTCAAGTTGGCCAGAAAGCCTGATATTCTCTTTCAGTATCTGGTAGATCTCACCTGGACTGATTGTCGTGCCTCTTTTCTGCAGAACTGACAACCCTTGACTGGCTGTATATGGCCTGATTTATGTTCTCCAACGTCCTAAGCATGTGAATGAGAATTTTCCTCTACTTTCATTGAAGAATTCCTTTTTATGCAAACCCTGTATCCAGAGTTTTAAGATTCTGGTAACTGAATAGTGAAAATTAAGTCTAATGCATTAGAGTCCTACCTGGAAAATATTCTTATTTTTCAAATGACAAAATCACATTAAAAATAAATAACAAAGGGATGCTGAACATCCTGACCCCTAATTTCAAATGACCCACAGTCTAAGCCCAGCTAAATACCAAATTGTATGACTTTGGGCAAATTACTGCATCAATTTCCTTTGCCTATAAATCAAGGGTAAAAATAACTGCATGACATAGCCTGTACCGTTTGGGATGAATTGAATTACATAAGGAGGTGTTATCACTGAAATCATAGTATAAAAATAAGGAGTAGTCAGGCTGCTGGAAAAAAAAAAAAAACCCGTTGCCAGAAATACATCTTTTAATCAAAAATGTTATTTCTTGTCATTACTGTTGTTTCTGTCTTGTTCCATATGCTGGCATCTCTTGAAAGAAAATAAGGACGTGGAGAAGTTTTTAACATGGTCATTCAAATGTTGTAAGGATAGAAACACATAATTCTGCAAGGATTTTTCCATTTAGAATGCAAAGTGAAACTGTAGGGTAGTCTACACAACAATCTAGGAATCAGAATGCTTCCAGATTTCAAAGAGGAAAAGACAAAACTTCATTCATGCAGCATTAGGGCATGGTAGCAGTCCTAACATCCCTGGATAATCAAGCTAAAAAATAAAACCCATACTGGACCTGTTGAGTCCTAGCTCTGTTTCTAATAAGGCTTAACTCTGTAGCCCTGTTTTGCCTCATCAGGAAAGAATATTGATATGTTGTATTGTGGGAATACACGTTGTATTGTGGGAACTTGTAGGAATTTCTTTCTCTAGTCAGGGGGACTATTTGATTGGGAACATGAAATGCTAAACTTTGCATACTCCTATTATACACCCATACTCCATTTTTTATTACCTTTCTCTCTACCTAATACCTATCCATCTATATATCCACCATCCATCTATGTCATGTGAAAGGAGTATTTATTTTCATTTCTTAAAGATATATTTTTTTTCTGATTTCCCAAATTTATTTTGTAGAGATTTCATGAAATGAAAACAAGTGAAAAAGTTTCTGTTTTCTGGACCAAATTCTATGTTTGAACAAATTTGTAGTCAACACATGGTTGATTTTTCAGATTTTCCTCTAAATATCAGTCCAGGGAAGAAATGAGGAAAACAGAAATTAAATCCTGGGTCTAAGCTAATATTTTATCATTTGCATCCATGTAGGAACCCTGCTTTATGTGTTTCATCCCCACTTCAACATGCAGGTTGGACATATATAACTAAAAAGGTACAAGAATGTACTAACAAAGTCAAATGATTAGCCCAACTTAATAGTAAGTGTTTTAATGGTTTGTTTTTCTTTCTCTCCCAAACTTTCAAGTGCCCAGGGCCATGTATTTTGACATCCCACTGGAACATGTGGAAACAAGCATCATTAAAAGGCATCCACCCCGAAGACTTCAAGTAAGATGAATTTAAAAGGCTTCATAAGGATTTTCTTGGATTTAATGGTAACATCCCTTTATACTATAACCATAAAGAAGGGATATTGAAAATGACTAAGCTAATGAGAATGTCATCAATTGCAAAGACCGTATTTCTTTAGGATTTCCCTTTATAATGATTTCACTTTTAAGACCACCACCAAAGGAAGGAAATATAGTATCAAAGGAACGGGCATTATGGGATTCAAAAGACCTTTGCATTTTGCATTTGATGAGTTAGAATGGAGAATCACTTGCAACAAACAATGATAACAATAATAACAGCGAGTACTATTTAATTACCACCCACTTCAAGTCAGATATATTCTGGGCAACTTGATCGATGTCAATCATTTAACCTTCATATCTCCTCTACAACAAAGGAAGAAGTATCTTTGCTTTGCAGTTGTGATTTAGAGAATTAGGTAACTTTTCCCAGGACAATGGAGCTCAGATATCAAACACGTCTCTGAAGCTCATGCTCTTAACTAGCAGCATAGTTGATTTGTACAGACCTTCTATCCCTAACCTTTTATCGTTGTAAATGTTAACTGGTTGCTGAAATTGAGGACATTGGATTCCAAGGCAGCAAAGCAAGAGATTTAAATGCCTTCACCTCAATAAATATTTAATCAATTCTCTCTAGAGAAGTATAAACTCTAAGAACTCTCATCCTAGAAGGGGAAAGAGATCTGAGTGGGTCCCTGAAAATGAGCATCAGCTAAGAGAAGGGTTTGGGCTCTCCTGTGAGCGGGATCTATCACTGACATTTGGGAAAAAGGAATTGGAACAAAATCCCATCTGATACACAATTCACTCAGACATCTGGACAAATCCCAGAGGTATTTGAACTCATTTGTTGGGGATTATTTCTATTTCAATTGGTTTTTATTTACCTGTCTTCTCCAGAAGCTCACGATCATTATTTGAAGTGATTATATCTTTTGTTCACCAAAAGAGCATCGTTTCCTAAAATATTAGAAACCTCAAAACATGTTTAAAGAAAAATCAAGTATAATTATATCAAATTGATATATAATTTTAAAACTTTTGAGCATATCTCTAACTAAACTGGACAACTTAAAAACTTACCTTTTATTCCTAAATCAAATGTATCTTTTCAAAGTTAGTGTGCTTAATATAATGTTCCTATGGAGCCAGTAAGCTAAATAACTCTAGTAGAAGATATTACTATAACCAGCAAAAAGTATTTGTAGCTGTCTGTAGTTTACAAAGTACTTCTTTTTTCTTTTTAACACAAAGAGAGACAGAGCATGAGCAGGGGAGGGGCAGAGAGACAGGGAGTCACAAAATCAGAAGCAGGCTCCAGTCTCTGAGCGGTGAGCACAGAGCCCGATGTGGGGCTCGAACTCATGACCAGTAAGATCATGACCTGAGCTGAAGTCAGACACTCAACTGACTGAGTTACCCAGGCACCCCCACAAAGTACTTTTTAGATCTATCAACCCTAAAGCAGCTAAAGTTAGGCTTTGATTCTCGAGTCAATCAAGGGCAAAAGGAGAACTTTGGTGTTTCAGAACAAAAGACGGTATCCCCACATCCTAACCAACCTCCTTAAAAATGAATCAAGACAAATGAATTATTTGAGTGCAAAGACGATGTCTTATTGAGTCTTATCTCTTCAGTCACTAACACTTAATATGTTCTCCCAAAAAGCTTATGAATGAATGAATGGTGAATGAATAGATGAATGAATGACACTGAGACCCATTATCCCTGGTGGGAACAAAAATCAAAATGCCTTGTCCTTGCTGTTGCAGACCTGTAGCATCCCTGTATTGTAAGTGTAATTGACTAGTTGCCAACATGACGAATTATGAAGATATAGGAGTGTTTGTTCAACCCAAGAACTGGGAGGCACTTGGGCTTCAGGTAACAGCTTTGCCTTGGAACCTGAAAGGCACAACTCTCTCTGTGTCTCCCCTGAGCATTCCTTCATGCATTCTTTATTCTTCCTGCAGATCGACTTTCTTTGCTCCTCAGGACCACTTGGTGAAATATGGACACCTCAGTTCTTGAATTTGCATTTTTATAGTTCCAGTCAAATAGACAGATTGGCCTGGCTCTTTGGGCTCCAATTTGAAATTCCTAGGAGGAAAGATCTTATTGGTTCAGCTTTGATCATGATTCCAGTTCTGTTCCAATAAGCTATGACTAGAGGATATGCTTATGCGTAGAAATGTGAGCAGAGAAGCGCCCCCCCCCACCGCCCCCCGCCACCAGCCCATAAATTCTGGAAGCAGCTCCCAGAGAAGAGGGAAATCACTGGGAACTTGGCAGACACTCTCTAAGATATCAACTATAATTATCTTCACAAATGAGGCTCAGCACATTTTCCACCACAAATGGGTTTTTGAGAGAATAATAAATGCTGGGTTCCCATGACATGCTAATTAATAGCCTAATCTCTGCCAAAGAAAATTCTAAAAGTATTTTTAATTATTAAACCAAATCTAATTGCATCCTAAATAATTTGAGTTGCACATTTGGCACTCTCCACTTCCTAAACATCTACTCTTCAAGTAAAGAGCAGGTCATGAACTAAAGTTCTCCAACTTGGAGCTGCTTAGCTCTGGGAGCCCCTTCCAGGGAACTCTCCATCCAACATGCTCATCTCATGCTGAAAGGAGATGAAAGGCACTCTGCACTGTCCCTCCTGGCCTGATTCACCTTCTCATCCAACCATCTCTGATCCAACCTAAGGTGGAGATCAACCGCCTCCACCCCCAGGGCCCCAGGTAATGTGATTTCCTCAGATTACTTCCTCCCTCATCTCCTAAGATTTACTTAAATCTCACCTTGCTAGAGGCTTATCATAACCTCCTGAGAGTTGCGATCCTTACCCTGGTGAGTCTGGCTCCCGTGATCCTCCATGATCTTTTCTTTTCTCCGGAGTACCTGAGCTCCATCTAACACACCAAGCAATTTACTTCTATTATGTTCATTGTGTATTTTCTGCATCACCTCCTTGCCAGTGCTAGAATACAGTCTTTCACAGATGCAGGAATTTTGTCTGTTGTCTTCACTAATGTATCTGAGTTTCTAGAACAGTACCTGGCACATAATAGCTGATCAATAAATATGAGTTGAATAAATGTTGAATGAATGAATGAATGCAAAGGGGAAAAGATGAGTATAAAGACTGCCAATAAGAGACAGGGAGGCTGGTTCTGACTCAGACGGTTTCATTATTTGTTTTCAATATTATATGGTTTGCCACAAATTTATTCCTTTTCCTTGCCTTTTCTCTTTGACCATTTTCTATTATATGTTTCTTTGTGATCTGTGACAATGCTTTACATATCTGAGATCTAGCCCTTTGTTAGTTATGTGTGTTACAAATATCTTCTTTCCATCTATGGTTTGTCTCTTCATTTTGCATGTGTGTGTGGGTGTGTTAGTGTGGGTGTATATGTGGTCACAAAGATTTCCACTTTAAATGCTATCAAATTTCTCAATCTTTATGTTTTATAGTTGTGTTTTATCTCAGAAATTTTTATTTTTCCCAAGGTCATAAAGATATTCTTCTTTGCTTCTTTCTAAAATTAATATTTACCTTTTCACATTTAGGTCTTAATCCATCTGAAATTCATTTGGGTACAAATGTGAATCTGGAATTTAATTTCACTTTTTTTCCATCTGAATACTCTATTTCCTCAGGACTCTTTCTGGAATCATCCGTTCTTTGACCATGGACTTAAAATGTTACTTCTGCCATTTATTCAGGTTCCACAGCTTCATGAGTCTGCTTTAGGCTCTCTCTTCTGTTGCGTTGGTCTATTTGTGCATCTCCCTAGGAACTCCGCACAGTCCTAATTATGTACCTTTAAGCATAGTCTTAATATTGAATACGGAGGGTCCTTTTATTCTTCTTTTTTAGAATTGTCTGTGTTATTTATGGTGCCTTGCTCTTCCACATGAAGTTTGGATCTTTTTGTCAAGTCCATTACAAACCTTGTTAATAGTGTGACTGAAATGCATTCATTGATTACTTGGGGGAAAATTGACCACATTTATAATACTGAGTCTTCTAAACTACAAACATGGCATAAATTTCCATTTACTCTGATTTTCTTTTAGATCTTTTAAAAATGTTTTATAATTTCTTCCCAGGGTTTTGTGTGATTATTTTTTTAGGTTTGTTCCTATCTACCTGTATCAGTCAGTGTTCAACCAGAGAAACAAAACCAGTAGAAGGAGATTTTATATATATATAAATATATATGTAATATATATATTATTTATATTTATATAAATATAATGTAATATAATATTTATATAAATAATATATATAATGTAATATAATATTTATATAAATATAATGTAATGTAATATAATAAATATAATGTACATATAAAAATATGTAATATTTATATATATTACATTTAATATGTGTATTTATAGATACATATATACATTATAACATAATATAATATATTAATATTTAGTATTAATATTTAATATGTAAATATATACAGTATAGTGTATAAATATGTAATATATTACTTTTTGGGGGGGGGCAGGTAATTGGCTTATATGATTATGGAGGCTGGCAGGGCAAGTTCAAAATCCCCAGGGGAGGCCATCAGGCAGGCCAGGCTGCAAATGCAAGGTGTGAGCTGAAGCTGCTGTCCACAAGTAGAATTCTTCAGGGGAGTCAGCTTTACTTTTAAGACATTTCAACTGTTTGAATCAGGCTCACCCAGAATATCTAAAGTAATCTTCCTGGCTTAAAGTCAAATGGTTATTGACCTTAATCACATCTACAAAATGATTTCACAGCAACACCTAGATTAGTGTTTGAATAACTGGAGGCTGTAGCCTAGACAAGTCCATGCTGACCATCAAAATACATTATGGGGGTTTTACCATCCTATTATGAATGAGGTCTTTTCCCCGTCCATTTTCTTTTCTTTTTTTTTTTCTTTTTTCTTTTTTCTTTTCTTCTTTAGAGATGGG